GAATGGTGCAACTGTATTCAGCAAGTTAGATTTAAACAAGGGCTATCATCAGCTTGAACTTGATGATGAGAGTCACTTCATCACAACGTTTACGACACATCGAGGTCTGTATAGGTACAAGCGCCTGAGTTTTGGTATCAACAGTGCTACCGAGGTATTCCAGCACATCATCAGCCAGGTATTGCAAGATATACCTAATGCTGACAACATGTCTGATGACATCATTGTTTATGGCCGTACCCAAGCTGAACATGACAAAGCTCTTCGTGCAACATTGCAATGCTTACGAGAAAAGAATCTGATGTTAAGCCGAGCAAAGTGTGAGTTCAATCAACGTAAAATTTAATTCTTTGGACATGTACTTAGTGACAAAGGTCTGTCTCCAGATCCTAAGAAAGTTGCAGATATCAAGAATGCTGCACCTCCTTCAACGTCCACTGAAGTACATAGTTTTCTGGGAATGGCAAACTACTGTTCTCGCTTCATTCAAGATTTTGCTACCATTACAAAGCTTCTACGTGAGCTCCTGAAGAAAAGTGCATCATAGTACTGGAACGACATCGAACAAAATGCATTTGATGCCATGAAAGATGCACTAGTAGAGAATGCGACTGCTGCATACTTTGATCCGTCGATGGACACTGAGTTAACGGTGGATGCTAGTCCTGTTGGTTTAGGTGCTGTTTTAGCCCAACACAAACCTGGTCAACCAGATTCCAGAGTAGTAATTGCCTACGCCAGCCGTTCTCTCACAGATGTTGAGCAACGATACAGTCAGACAGAGAAGGAAGCTCTTGCTTTTGTATGGGGCTGTGAACACTTCAATGTGTATCTGCTTGGTGCACCCTTCACCACGATAGTCACTGACCACAAACCGTTGGAGACCATCTTCAATAATCCAAAGTCCAAACCACTAGCTCGCATTGAGAGATGGGCTCTTCGTCTGCAACCATACAACTTTACGGTGAAATACAAGCCGGGTGCAGGCAATCCCGCTGATTACATCAGTTGACATCCTGCCAACAGTTTCACCATCACCAAGCATCAGCAAGTTGCCGAGGAATATGTACACTCTGTAACCTGTGATGCAGTCCCTAAGGCTCTCACTCTTGATGAAATCCGTACTGCAACCCTAGAGGACCCAACTTAGTAAGCAACAGTGGATGCATTGACTAAGAGAAAGTTTCCACGCATCCCACCCTCAGGAGTTGACCAAGATGCATTCAAAGGACTTGAACGCATCCAGACAGAATTAAGTGTTACGCAACAACGCGACACCGTGCTGCGAGGTACTCGTATCGTCATTCCAGCTGTTCTCCAGCAACGTGCTCTGAAGCTTGCACATCAAGGACACCAAGGTCTTGTTAGGACCAAACAGCTGCTACGAGAAAAGGTGTGGTTTCCTGGCATTGATCGTCAAGCAAAGGATGTGCATGATGCCTGTGTCCCTTGCCAAGCTGCAGTGGATATTTCAAGACCAACACCTCTACAACCTTCACCACTACCTGCTGCACCATGGACGGAAGTATCGATGGACTTCTGCGGACCACTACCAACTGGATGGTAGTGGAGTACTTGATGGTAGTCATTGATGATCACTCACGTTATCTAGAAGTAGAAATCATCACTTCCACATCTGCAAAGGCTGTCATCCCGAAACTCGACAAGATCTTTTCAAATTTTGGCATTCCTGAAGTTGTCAAGACGGACAATGGACCGCCATTCAATGGACAAGACTTCATCAACTTTGCTGAGCATATTGGATTCAAACACCGCCGTGTGATGCCACTACATCCCCAAGCAAATGGAGAAGTCGAGAGATTCATGCAACCTCTCATGAAAGCGGTACGCTGTGCTCATGCCGAAGGAGCCCATGACGGGGGAGCCGGTCGGCCGAGCGGACAGCACACTGGACTTGTGATCCTGTGGTCCTGAGTTCGATCCCAGGCGCCGGCGAGAAACAATGGGCAGAGTTTCTTTCACCCTATGTCCCTGTTACCTAGCAGTAAAATAGGTCAGTCAGCTATCACGGGCTGCTTCCTGGGGGTGGAGGCCTGGTCGAGGACCGGGCCGGGGGACACTAAAAGCCCCGAAATCATCTCAAGATAACCTCAAGAAGGACGATCCTGGAAACAAGCTATGTATGCTTTTCTCAGGAACTACCGTGCAACACTGCATGGAACACTGGACAAGTTGCCTGGTGAACTTTTATTTGGACGTCCTATGAGGATCTCACTACCCGTCATGCCAGCCGAGGTAACGGATAAACGTCTCGCTCAGAAGGATGCACTAGCCAAGAGCAAAATGAAAATTGCTCATGATCAACGTGCAAAGGAACAATTCATAAAGATTGGAGATACTGTTCTCGTTAAAAAGAAAAGAGGGAAAGCTAGATATGCCGTATGATACAAAACCATATAAAGTGATTAGTGTAAAAGGAACTATGGTAACAGCTAATAATAGAGATAATAGTATAACACGTAATATGGCCTATTTCAAAGTGATTCCAACTAGTGTAGAAAATGATGAAGTGCAAAGTCGTGCAAAAGAAAAAGAAAAAAATAGTTATAAACCGACAAACAATTCATCAAGGGATGTTATTGCATTTAAGGACTCTCGTCCTAAACGTCATGTTAAACGCCCTACACGATTTGATGATTAATTGTGTTCCTATGTAATGAAAAGTATTTACTCATTATGCTGAACTAAATTTAATATTGTTTGAATAATGCAGATATCTCATTCAATATTTTGTAACTTTGTATTACAGTTTCTTTCATGTTTGTTTAACATTGCATATGTATTTTTAACATTGAAATCCTTTGTGGTAAAGATTAAGTTGTTTAAATTCTTTGTGTGCTTAATTAATGTTAAATGTATGCAATGTCTCTTGATACGTTAATAACTTACTTTGTGTCAATAACTTTGCTTTGTGCTACAAGCATGGTAGACATCCTGTATTCATTCTTTTTAAAGAAAAGGAGGGATGTCATGTTCACAGAAAATGGTAACATCTGTTTTCTATGTGTGGCGGAGCAGACGCCAGAGAAGGTAAACAGAGAGCGTACAGGACGCCCGCCAAGCTTGGTAGCTACTAGTCATGTAACATCTTAAGTATTAAAGTCAGTAACCAAGCAATGGCTTTATATCAACCCTACAACCAAGACTTCCTCAGTAACACAAACACCACAAGACCCTGAGTAAAGTAATTGGACTATAATGAAGCATCAGGCTCTGAGTAAAGTAACTGGACTATAATGAAGCATCAGGCTCTGAGTAAAATAATTTCACAATATAAGGAATGGTGTTTATTTTCACTGTCCTCCTGGATGCTTTCCCGGTAGGTTGGAGGAGTGTCACCCGCTCTCTGTGCCTCTGTGAGGGGGGGGGGCCAGGATCCCGGGTTCAATAGAAGATCACAGGCTTAATCATCACACAGGACAGAAATGGTTCCCATGTTTCCTTTCACCTGATGTCTGTTCACTTACCAGAATATATTTATCCAAGAGTTAGACAACTGTTTTAGAGCATATGTTAAGGAAAGTCAGTAGTAGAACTTGGGGAATCTCGATAAACCTAAGAACAAACTTCCTCTCCTCAAAACGCAACTCAATATCTTGTGATATGACCTATGAGAGAAATTGCTTCTGGGGGATCTCTCCAGTGATTTCCTGAACTTTTTTCATGATGCTGGAGGGTGTCTCCCCCAGTTGTACGGGGTCAGCTGTGGCACCTGTCTCAGTGGTCATCATCTCCAGGGCCTCCCTGGTGGTCTCCTGCACCTGTCATTACCTACACAAACATTAATGGTGGAGGCTGAGTCTCCCAGGTGTATGGGGTCAGCTGTGGCACCTGTCTCTGTGGTCGTCATCTCCAAGGCCTCCCTGATGGTCTCCTGCACCTGTCATTACCAACACAAACATTAATGGTGGAGGCTGAGTCTCCCAGGTGTATGGGGACAGCTGTGGCACCTGTCTCTGTGGTCATCCTTTCCAGGGCCTCCCTGATGGTCTCCTGCACCTGTCATTACCGACATAAACATTAATAATGGAGGCTGAGTCTTCCAGGTGTACGGGGTCAGCTGTGGCACCTGTCTTTGTGGTCATCATCTCCAGGGCCTCCCTGATGGTCTCCTGCACCTGTCATTACCGACACAAACACTAATGGTGGAGGCTGAGTCTCCCAGGTGTACAGGGTCAGCTGTAGCACCTGTCTCTGTGGTCGTCATCTCCAGGGCCTCCCTGATGGTCTCCTGCACCTGTCATTACCAACACAAACATTAATGATGGAGGCCGAGTCTTCCAAGTGTACAGGGTCAGCTGTGGCACCTGTCTTTGTGGTCATCATCTCCAGGGCCTCCCTGATGGTCTCCTGCACCTGTCATTACCAACACAAACATTAATGGTGGAACCTGGACTATAATGAAGCATCAGGCTCTGAATAAAGTAACTGGACTATAATGAAGCATCAGGCTCTGAATAAAGTAACTGGACTACAATGAAGCATCAGGCTCTGAGTAAAGTAACTGGTCTATAATGAAGCATCAGGCATTAAGTAAAGTAACTGGATTATAATGAAGCATCAGGCTCTGACTGAGTAAAGTAACTAGATTATAATGAAGCATCAGGCTCTGAGTAAAGTAACTGAATTATAATGAAGCATCAGAATGAGTAAAGTAATTTGACAACATAAGTAATTTTGTTTCTCTACACTGACCACAGTGTAGAGAAACACCAAGATGACAGTTGACTTTATTATTAATAAAAATGTTTCAGGTGTTAGAGCAAAATGTTTCCTATATTTAAAGTCTACTCTCATCTTGATGTGTCTCCATGTCAAAAGTGTTTATATAGAGGCAATACTACACACAGTTGGGTGAGAACAATGTGACCGTCGGTAGTGTACCTTCACTGAGGTGTGGACAGTCTTGACATCTGGGAAGAGTTCCCGGCACTTCTGGAGCCAATCTTCTATCTTCATGCTGCACTCACCAGCTGTGTCTATGGATGTGTAAACTTCCTGTGGGGTGTTGCCTGTGTCGAGGTTCCCCAACATGGCGTGCAGCTGAGTCTTTCCTTCCTCTCCTTGTGTTGTCATATCCACCACACTGGTATCCTCCAGTTCCAAGAGATTCATTGCTGACTTGTTCTGCTCTACCAGAGCATAGAATCTGTCCTGGAGCTGGAGGTGGTGAGTCTTCCAGTCCCCCAGCTGCCCCCGGTACTCCCCCAGCTGCCCTCGGTACTCCCCCAGCTGGGACAGTACCTCTTCACAGCTAGTAATGAGGCTGCTGATGCTGCTCTTCTGCTCCTGCACCAGGGAATGTAACTTCTTTTTTACTGGTACAGTTTTCTTTTGTGTTAGCTGGATATCTTTCAGTTTCCTAACTAAAGCCTCCACAGCGTAGCTAATTGGGAACTGAGTAGCAGCTGTGGCAGTGTGCTGGGCACGGCAGTTGGGGCAGGTCAGTTGACCATTCTCGATAGCATTGTCAATACACTGGGAGCAGAATGTGTGGCCGCACGGCAGTGTACGAGGCCGTAGCTGATTGTCATCATAATCGTTATAACACACTGAACATTCCTCTGGCTTGTTATCCTGTGGAAAGAATATTTGGTTAAGCTATATGTATTATTACAGTACAGTGTCACATCGATAAAAAGTAATATTACAGTACAGGTACTTTATTTACTAATAGTAATTATATAATATTTCCATACATTTTTTGTATTAGCTATTCTAGAGCAGAGTTAATATTACTGACAGATTAACATATCCACTGAAGGGCCAATATTTTTTATAAATATATCCCGGAGTATAGGATAATATTTTTAGGTAACATATTGCAGTAGGGCTGCTTGTAAGCCGTACCCGAGATTACAGACTAACAAAACCCGTCCTTACTTTCTTACGAATAATGGAAGGAAATGTATCTATCGTATGTGATAATGGAGGAAAGATCAAGTATTCTTAGTTTAAGTTGGTCTTAGTCCCTCGAATGGGAAGACAACGAAGGGAGCGCAAGTCCCTCAAGATGCTCACAAAGTAATGAGAGTACTTAAGCGAATTTTCATTGTGGGAGATTCCCAGGTGAGGTATTTGGCTAAAACGTTTTCTGCCAAGGATAGGGGGAACAAGTTAAGGGTTTGTTATTCGGGAGCAGGAATTGGTGATATTGTTTACAACATGAATGATGTTATAACTGGAAATGGGAACAAACCCATTACAATGGGGCCTTGACTTACGATGCTAATCCGTTCCCAGAGATGGATCGTAACTCAAAATATCGTAAGTCGAAGCGATTTTTCCCATAAGAAATAAAGGGATTTGAATTAATCCATTCCCCCACCCTCCAAAATATTAACATACAAATACATTTTATACTGAATACAATGTTTTTTTTCTAACTACAATACAGTACCTAAGTTGATCTTACCTTTTTGGAGGGCTTTTGATGGCGTATGGACGATGAGTTGGGAGGAGAGTTGTTACTGTTTGGAAGGGGAGTCCCCTTCCATTATTACATCAGGCAGTGATGTTTTCTCTAGGGGTACTCTCTCTCTGCTACGTTTTCCCTGAATACCACTATGACCTGGTTGTGGTTCAGTGCTTGTTTGTCTCACTACAAATTTGTCAAGAGACATTTTTTTCCCTTCGTTTTAACGTTTGTCTGTAATGATGCATCACAGTGTCATTGAATAGGTTAAGGCAATGACCTACAGCAGCTTGATTTGGGTGAGTCGTTTCAGCAAAGGTTTGCAATTCTTCCCATGCTGCACACATTTTCTTAATTGTTGAAGAAGAGACATTCTGTACTCTTGTTTCTGCTCTATGGCATCCTTACATGGGTTTTCATATGTTGAGCCTTACCACTGACTTTCCTGGGACTAATGGCGTGATATATAATACAGGTATGTGTGAAATGGACTACTTTACTGCATATTTTGATGAACCGCTCATGGAGCATATTGTTCAGGAAACGAACAAATATACGACTGATCTCAATGGTGAGGAGTTATCCGATTTTTCACGATTACAGCAATGGAAAGATACGACTTTAGGTGAAATGTATGTGTATGTTGATGAAGCATTGTGTCAAACACGTTCTCGACCATTATTGGAGCAAACATCAAACTATTCCAACACCATTGTTTGGGAAATATATGCCTCGAGACCGATTTGCGATAATCCTCAGGTGTCTTCATTTTGCAAATAATGAAGACCAGACTGAAGATGATAGACTTTGGAAGGTGAGGCACATCCTGAATGAACTTCTTTGAAAGTCAGAGATTTCTACGTACCAGCTCAGAAGCTGGCGACTGATGAATCCCCAGTGCTTTTCAAAGGACGGTCTGCCTTCAAGCAGTATATTCCCTCAAAACGCCTCAGATTTGGATTTAAATTCTGTGTACTCTGTGACTGTGAAACAGGAACTGTGTTACACATGATAATGTATACAGGTACAAGTGTAGACATTCCTGCCAATAACAATCATGGCTTCTCGGGTAGTGTGGTGAAGTCACTGCCTGCACCATATCTGAACAAGGGCCAAATATTATACACAGATAACTATTATACCAGTCCCTTGCTAACCAGGTTCTTGCTTGATAATAGAGCTAGTACTCACCTAGTTGTGCTTGCGGGGTTGAGCTCTGGCTCTTTGGTCCTGCCTCTCAACTGTCAATCAACAGTTCCTGAGCCTACTGGGCTCTATCATATCTACACTTGAAGTTGTGTATGGAATCTGCCTCCACTACATCAATTCCTAAAGCATTCCATTTGTCAACCACTCTGACACTAAAAAAGTTCTTTCTAATATCTCTGTGGCTCATTTGGGCACTCAGTTTCCACCTGTGTCCCCTAGTGCGTGTGCCCCTTGTGTTAAACAGCCTGTCTTTATCAACCCTGTCAATTCCCTTGAGGATCTTGAATGTGGTGATCATGTCCCCCCCCTAACTCTTCTGTCTTCCAACGAAGTGAGGTTTAATTCCCGTAGTCTCTCCTCGTAGCTCATACCTCTCAGCTCGGGTACTAGTCTGGTGGCAAACCTTTGAACCTTTTCCATTTTAGTCTTATGCTTGACTAGATATGGACTCCATGCTGGTGCCGCATACTCCAGGATTGGTCTGACATATGTGGTATATAATGTTCTGAAAGATTCCTTACACAAGTTTCTAAAAGCCGTTCTTATGTTAGCCAACCTGGCATATGCTGCTGCTGTTATCCTCTTGATATGAGCATCAGGGGACAGGTCTGGCATAATATCAACCCCCAGGTCTTTCTCTCTCGCGGACTCTTGAAGTATTTCATCTCCCAAGTGATACTTTGTATCTGGTCTCCTGCTTCCTACCCCTATCTTCATTACATTACATTTGCTTGGATTAAATTCTAACAGCCATTTGTTCGACCATTCCTGCAGCTTGTCCAGGTCTTCTTGAAGCCTCAAGCTGTCCTCCTCTGTCTTAATCCTTCTCATAATTTTGGCGTCGTCAGCAAACATTGAGAGGAATAAGTCTATACCCTCTGGGAGATCATTTACGTATATCAGAAACAGGATAGGTCCAAGTACAGAGCCCTGTGGGACTCCACTGGTGACTTCACGCCAGTCTGAGGTCTCACCCCTCACTGTAACTCTCTACTTCCTATTGTTCAGGTATTCCCTTATCCACTGGAGCGCCCTACCAGTTACTCCTGCCTGTTTCTCTAGCTTATGCATCAACCTTTTATGGGTACTGTGTCAAAGGCTTTCCGACAGTCCAAAAAAATGCAGTCCGCCCACCCTTCTCTTTCTTGTTTAATCTTTGTCACCTGATCGTAGAATTCTATCAATCCTGTAAGGCAAGATTTACCCTCCCTGAACCCATGTTGATGAGTTGTCACGAAGTCTCTTCTCTCCAGATGTGTTACTAGGTTTTTTCTCACAATCTTCTCCATCACCTTGCATGGTATACAAGTTAAGGACACTGGCCTGTAGTTCAGTGCCTCTTGTCTGTCACCCTTTTTGTATATTGGTACTACATTAGCAGTCTTCCATATTTCTGGTAGGTCCCCCGTTTCCAGTGACCTACTATACACTATGGAGAGTGGTAGGCAAAGTGCTCCTGCACACTCTTTCAAGACCCATGGCGAGATTCCATCCAGCCCAACAGCTTTTCTCACATTCAGCTCCAATAGGTGCTTCTTGACTTCATCTCTTGTAATTTCGAACCTATCCAAGGTCACCTGGCATTTTCCTTTGTTTTGCCTTCACTGTGCCACACACAGTGTGGCACAGTGAAGGCAAAACAAAGGAAAATGCCAATGTTTCACACTGCTTTGTAGGTTGGTGATTACGAGCTAAGAAAAACTGATGCAATGCTTTCAGTGCAGTGGAAAGACAGGCATGAAGTGAACATGTTGACCACCATTTATGATGGTACAATGGTGGACAGTGGCAAGGTGAACAGAAAAACAAAACAAATAATCTATAAGCCTGATTGTGTTTTGGACTATAACATCAACATGCGTTTGGTGGATAAATGTGATATGATGGTAGGGGCAGTAGAGTGTGTACAGAAAACAGTGAAGTGGACCAAGAAGATGTTTTTCCACCTTGTTGACGTAATAATGCTGAACAGTTACAATACGTATTTTGTCAAAACAGATGGTAAATGAAATTTCTGTGCGTTCAGTTTTACTGTAGAGACAATTACTAGAAAAGTTTGCCAAACCAATTCCTGGCATACAAAGGCCCCATTGTGAACCCAACATTGCACCATGCTCCCACACCCAGGCTCGCTTTCAAGGACGTCTTTCTGACACACAATGTAAGGTATTTACCACCAACTGGAAAGCGTGCAGTAGCCCAGCGTGAGTGCATTGTATGGAATACCACAAAAAAGAGGGAACAAAAACATAAAATTGGTCTTAACTTGGTGCACAGCATGAAAGGTCCCATTGTGCTATGTCAAATGTTTTGACGAGTATCACAGTCTCGAGGACTTCTAAATGTCCGATACTGGTGTAAAAACATCCACATATTGAGTAAGTGTATATAGTGAAAACAATTCATAATAAATTTCATATTTCCTGAAATATAAAACATTTTTGTGCACGTGACAATAATATGTGACAAAATATTAAATTTATACCAGTTGTATTATAATAAACATCAAGTGACCACACATTGTACCACATCCATGAAAAAATGTTGTAAAATATGCCATAGATACTGCAAATAATGCCATTGTTATGACCCTGTGTTCCCATTCAGAAACCAAAGGTCAAATTAAGTTCCAAATAGTTGTGTAAGAGGAATATTTAATTAACAATAATGTTTATATTCAAGGCTTCTCATACCTGATGCGTATTTGTCTCAGTCTTCCTTGCCATACGTAAGATGAACCTTGTTACTAACAGATTATTCAGACTCTGGGCTTGTTGACTATTAAATATAATATTGAACTAGTTCCCAGCTATTCTTAGAACTGTTAAAGTAACTAGTAATGAATGTTGGTGAAGACTTGTTATGTTTATGGCTGTACGATCAGCTAGGTACCCTTCCCAGCAGCATATTTAAGAGAGCGGAGGAGGCTGCTCTCGCTCTCTCTGGTTCTAGCTGTTGTGGTGTTCACACTCTCCAGCGTGGGCTCTGTTCTCCTCCTTCTCTCTTTCCCTTACCTCATTCTACATTTATTATCTAAGATAAGTATAATACTGTGTTACCGTGTTCTGGCAAATTGTGTAGTTAAGTTCTTGTGTAGCCTAAGCTGGTGTTTATATCCCTAAGATTACTCTAGGGTGTTTTAGTAAAACCACGTGTGCTCAAGTTTTACCAGGGTATCTAGAGCCTTTACTAGTGTCCTACTCCAAGTAGTCTTTACCCTAGTTGTAATTGTAAACTCTGCATCCTGTCTATGTGGACCAAGATGTTTAACGTAAGGTAGAGTGGTAAAGAAATTTATTGTATTAATGGATATGGGGGTTATTAGAGGGTTTTAATAAATAAGTTAGATTATGAGAAGTAGCAATTCATCCTGTTGAAGTGGTGTAGATGATTAGCTACTAGACAGCAGACCTGTAATTTAAAACATAGAATCATTACTAGGAACATTTATTCCTTGGGGAGCCGGCCCTATCTATCCCACTATTTTAGATACATCTTGACTCTAACTATTGGCTCTTCTCAGTACAACCACGTACCCCATAACAAGTGGGGGCCTGTCCGGGAGCTGAAATTTTTATATATAAATTGTAAAAAAATTAGATTTTGAGTGCCGAAACTAAATTTCTTGCATTCCGCAGAATGGTTATGTGGTAGCCTAGGGTCCAGCTCAACTAGCAAAGGATACATCTTGCATTGACTGAACATCCAACTGGATCCCTTCACGATTGAGGTAAGTGCGAGGTGTGTGCCCGCCGACGGAAGAGTGGACCCAGTTAGCTGACCGTGTTGCTAGAGATGGAGCGAGAAGAGTGCTACTGCCATCGGACAATTCTACCTATATTATTTCCTTATGTAAGTGTATATATTTTCTTCAGTAAACTTTTAATCTTACCAATGTGTTTGAGTGAGCCTCCATTCTCTAGGGCTATTTTGAGTGAAACCATTTATGTCGCCTTGCACTGGCGACCACTGAAGTGTTGCTGGGACACGAGTATAACACCCAGCTGGCGACCTCGAGCAGACCAGATATCTAAGAGAGAGTATCCCAGTGTCAAGACGGGCAGGTTCAGGTGTGATACAGGTGACTTGAACCTCTCTACTCACTAGGGGTATATATATAAGGCCAGCCCTTAGTGGACTGGGTTTAGCCCCAGGGCGAGCAGTGGCGTCTGGTACAGAGGGGCGAAGACCCATGGGAACGGCCCCAAACCATATAAGGTAGGAATGGGTGAGAACCTTGACACCTTCCCAATCATGTTAAAGACTGTACTTCTCTCAACCAGTTTAAGATAAAAACTCAAACTACCTAATAAACTCCATGTAACCTACCTTACCCCTAAATGTCAACCCATGTCTTATTATTGTAATCAATGCTTTTTGTTGACCAACTTGTATAATTGCTTTTCTCTGCCTTGTTCCCCCCTCCCCTTTTTTAATTTTTTTTCAATGCAATTTATACTTTAAGCTCAATTACTATTAAGTTTTAGTCTAAGTGTTTTCCCCCTTCACCTTGCCTGAAACGCTATGCGTACTAGTGGCTTTAAGTATTGTATGTACTATCTCTATCTTTAAATCCATCATTATGTATGAAACTCAATGGATGTACCTTTACCTGAATAAAGAATCTGATGGTGAGTGTATTATTGACATCAACATGATAGCCCACACATACTAATAGTACAACAAGAATAAAATTGTCTTTACCATCATTAATGGGTAGAAGTTGTTTGCGTCGGCGTCCTTGGTAGCCGAGCAGAGACTGGAAGCAGTATTACCTATTGGGGGAAAAAGAAGACAAATTTAAGGTTTCTATGACTAAATTTTTCCCACCAAAACATAGTATATGTTTAGAAAATTAAATAAAAAAACCAAGCGTTGAATGTAACGAAACGCCATTTTCTGGGTGAGTTCTGGAGGCTCCCCAGAGCTTTCCCAGGCTGATATGCTAATGTCAGACTTTGGCATCAGTCATGTGTATGGAGTTCTTAGGCATACCGGGGACCACGGCCAGAACCAGGGCCCCCTCAGAGAGGCAAGGAGAGCAATGGCCTATAGAAGCCCCCGTGTGGTTGGAAGCATTCTATGTCTGCCATCGACCGGAACAGGCACCCAGAAAGGTAAGCGCCTCAAAACAAACCCCTATTCTGATGAAAATTGCTACCAAAACCAAACTAGTGGATAGAACTCCCCAACAGAAAACAAGCAAACTACTGTAACCCCGCGATTATCCGGGATTCAAACATCTGGAAAACGCCCTTATACGGCCAAAATCGTGATCGGATAAAGTTATCACAATATCCGGCCAAAATGGCCACAGGAACCGGATAAAAGCTGGTTTGGCCGGATGAAAATACGGCCATACCGTATTAATCCTGTCTGTGGCTCTAGACGCATGGTGGAGGAGGGGGGTTGGGTGGGTGGGTGGTGTTGGGAGGGTGGGAGGGGTGCGTCAGGAGGGACCACCTGGGTACAGGAATTACCATTAATTTTAGAACACTTAATCATAGCCAAAAACAAATGAAATAAGTACTAGTAATTATGTAATAACAAATAAATAAGTTTCCTAAAAGTAATGTGCACAGGCTGAAGTTTCCTTCAAAAATATTGTGAATTTTTTCCCTCCTGGCGGCCTACGTAACGCGCTATAGATGCCCCACCCCAAGTGGAGCCGTCCAACACTGGTCAACCCATGTGCGTTCATCCCTCGTGTTATACACAGTGCTGCGCCATTAGTGAAATATTTTTTTAAATAACTTTTTTATTTTCATAGTAACTTTGAACATTTTTGGCCCAGACTATCTGGTAGCAGCATCAATCGTTCTGGAGGTGTTAAGAGGAAGAAAGTTGTCCTAACAATTAAAGACAAGTCACTGTTATACACCTCAACCAGTGCGGCCTCACAGTGTTGCGCCATTAGTGAAATATTTTTTAAATAACTTTCTTAATTTTCATAGTAATTTTGAACATTTTTGGCCAGGAATATGTCTGGTAGCAGCATCAATCGTTCTGGAAGTGTTAAGAGGAAGAAGATTGTCCTAGCAATTAAAGACAAGTTATGTGTTGTTCAACCAGTGAGGCGTCACAGGCAGCCAAGCGCCTTCAACAAGTGAGGCGCCACAGGCAAGCCAAGCTCCTTCAACAAGTGAGGCATTACAGGCAAGCCAAGCGCTTTCAAAAAGTGACGCGCCACAGGCAAGCCAAGTGCCTTCAACAAGTGAGGCGCAAGCAAGCGCCTTTAACAAGTGAGGCGTCACAGGCAACCCAAGCGCCTTCAACAAGTGAGGACATGCAAGCGCTTCAACAAGTGAGGTGCAAGCAAGCGCCTTCAACAACCGAGGCCTCACAGGCAACCCAAATGCCCTCAACCAGTGAGGCTTCAGCAGCTGGCAGTCAAAACTAACTTAGCTTAATGAACTGTACAGTAATTTTAAGTGTTAATTTTAGTGTTGTGTTAGTATAGG